AAAACAAACAAAAAGAATTGTACTAGTGACACATTAATAGAAAAAACAATAAAGTGTCTCAGTAATGTGTCTGGGTCCCATCTGGTGAACATTGTCATGATTCCCCAAGTCTTTCAAATTGTAATGGAGGATTCCAGCCCCACTCATTTAGAAGATTATCCTTTATTTGGTGCTTTGATGGCAGTGGAGAGCACTTTCCATAACATCAGTCCAAAATTAATATAATTTTTAACTCCTATGTCCAGGCATTGTCATCTTGGAAGGATTTAATTGGAGCTAAACCGGGACAGTAGAATATTAAAAACCAGATCTCATCTCTGAGGGGATTACGTGTTACAAATTCCTTCAAATTGTTACCTTTAAGTAGGTACTGAAGCAGTTTGAATGAAAAGCTGTTTTATTAACACTGAGTTGTAATGCCAAAATGAGAATATTTAGTCTGTAGTGTGACACTAAAATTCTGCATCAATAACAGATGATGGGGTTTAATCTTTAAAACTGGATCAAATTGTGGTTTAAGAGTAAGGCTGTATTGGCAATGAGGTGATTTCAGTTACTGTAAAAAGGGACCTCTGTTAAATGATTGTTGTGTACTTACTGAAAGTTTTTCTGATTGTGTATGCAATAGATCAGAATGATAACATGCCATTTGGTTTATTTCATATAGCTTTAGATCATCATCAATTAAAAGTTGTCCCTTGCTTCAGTCTATATCAATTAATGTGGCTATTAATATCCCCTGACTACTAAAGTCTGCATGTTTAACAGTGACACATTTATTTCATATTATAATGCTGTCCACAGTCTAACTCTAATGTGGCAGTGATAAAAAATGTTGGTTCTCCTCATACTTACCTTACATTTCTTAACTGGCTTATAAGCTGATTAATACATGTATTTATTTATTAATGGTTCAGTGGTAAATAACTTTATTTGTAAGTGTATGCAAGTATGGAAAAAAAAAGCCAAACAGAAATTTTCTCAGTCTGGCAATGTGTGCAACATATAAGCTTCCTTTTAGGAGAGTCATTACTTTTTAATTCCTCATATAGGAATTATTGGTTTATTTTGCAGCATAAAGCAATAAATTAAGTATAAAATACTAATAATGAGCAGAATGAAGTATAAGTTGAAGAAAAGCTAAAATGTAATGTGCCTACATGAAGACACAGGGTCTGAAGAGGTAAAATGAAAAAACAACAACAACAACAACAACAACAACCAAAAACTATGTAACAATAACAGAAAAAAACCTTGACTGAAGTTACTAGTAGGGCTAAACAAATAGTGACAATTTAATTTCAATTACAGTTTCCTAGTCCAACAATTTTTTAGAAACAATAATCAAAACCTTGGATATGAGCGAAATGGCTTATTTTCCACCATGATTTACGTTGCCAGAAAATAACAAGTAAAAATTTAAAGTTTTTAAGTAAGCTACCTGAATTTAACCTATTATTATTATTGTTATTTTAATTGAAATCGAATCATCTTGTGAGTAATAAATAGTAATAGTAATCAAAAATTCTCAATTTAATAAACTCAAATAAGAGGAAAATGTCACAGAATTTCAAAGTGTTTAATTTAGTAGAATCAATTTGAATTTAAATTTGCCGTGTATTTGTAGCCAATTCAATCTTTCAAAAGTGCCACATTATACAAGTAAAAAGTAATCATGCGGAGGAGGGGAGTATTACGAATTAGGAAGAGAAAAAAGTATCAGTGGTCCCCTTCTCTCCATTTTTCAATCTGGAACATTACTCCCAATTCTTCATGCAACATTTTAAAAACCATTTACAAAGTGCTTTTCCACTTGATAACAGGTTCATAATTAGAGAATATGTGGTGACGGCTTTGTATTATTCCGAGGTGTACTATTGATTCGGATTCCACAGCTGAAGCGCTGAAATTGCGGTGTTTCCCACGGCCCGTGAAGGCAGCGGCAGATGCGGGTCTTATTTGTTCTCTCCAGCAGGAGGGCGTTCCGCTGAAGAACATACGAACACACTGTGGTGAATTATGCCGGCGTACGTGCGCACTGATTCATATTTAGATGCTGCCACAGCTTAGCTGTTATCCCAGGGTCTGTGTTTTTGAACCCCGGGCCTTCCTTGATGTTAGCCTTCCTGGTGGTAACACTGCCGGGGGAAAGGCGACAGAGGAGGCCAGGCCCGAAGACATGGAGGCTAGCCGTCCTTGCAGAGGGAGTGAGCTGTAGGACGGTAGGCGCTCTCTCTCTCTCTCTCTCTTGCATTTCTTCCTCCGTTAAGAAACAATGAAAGGCAGACAGGACAGGTTATAGTACCCCTGCTTAGAGGGAGGGGAGGCTTGAAACCTTTCTACCACCAGTTCTCCTTCAGTTTCAGCTTTCGGATGTTTTTTTTCTGCCCGTCGTCGTGAAAAAGCCAATTTTTGAGTTTTTTCCTTATCCACACAGACAATGATGGTGGTGGCTGCAAGTCTTTTTGGCTCAGTCCGGGAATGGCTGGTCTCAGAGGTTTACTGGACCGAGAAAAACATCACACACTTGACGTTTTAACAGTTTTCTGGCTTTATTTCATATCACAGCGCAGTTTCTGGCATCCAGTGTCCTCAAACGTGACACATAAATATTTAAGCACTATACAAATAACATTCAGGATGAACACACGCACTGTAAACACAACGGGTGCTGAAGCCAGATTCATCAGGTTCTTTAAAAAAAGTCTCCTCTGCATAATTATAATTAATGTAATCACTTCAGTGAGCATTTAAAATAATAATTCAATGCTAAGTGTGAGTTTTAGTGTTAAAAATATAAACAGTGCATGATTGAAAGGGGCTAGGAGAGTAAATATTTGGCTAAACGAACCCTAATGGGAGTAAATAGGCTGATATGCATGGCTGCTTATGCAAGACTCATTAAGGTCATGTCAGCAAATATTTGTTTTGTTTTCTAGACAATCCTTTAAGAAAAAGGAGACTTAGTTTTAAATGAATGTCTTAAACATAACGTATGCTCTCTTTGATTCAGTTAATTATAATAATTTTAATCAGCTTTTTTAATTAAATTAAATTTTATTTATTTTGGGCCAAATCACAACAACACTAGTCTCAAGTCAATCTGCATTTGTTTAAAAAATTTACTAAACTTTACTGTCCATCAGTAATTATTATAAACTAGGCGCAAAAATGTTTTAGTTAATCTAAAAAAAAAGATTAAAATTAGAATTTGGGAGGAAAAAAGAACATAAAGCTAAAGTAAAGTAAAAAATGTGCAGGACATGCTGAATCTGAGTGAGCTACCTGCAGAAGGTATTTTTATTGTGATATTTGATCTTCACTTCCTAAAAACCAAATTGCAAAAACATTAAATGGAGCACTGAAACTAACAAAGTAAATTAAAACTAAACATTTTTAACAATAATCTAAGCAAACCCCCTTTGGAAACTAAAGAAAACTTACTTAAATGAGAAAATTAAATAAAAAATAAGGCAGCACAGTGGTTCAGTGGTTAGTTCTGTTGCATCACAGCAGAAAGGTTTGAATCCATTGTCTGGTATTTGTGTGGAGTTTGCCTCTCTGGGTGCTCTGCCTTTCTATCACACTTATAATGCATGTTTGGTCAACTGGTGATTCTAAACTGGCCTCAGGTGTGAGTGATTGTTTGTTTTTTTGTGTTAGCCATGAAACACTGGCAACCTATCCAGGGTGTATCCCGCCTCTTGCCGCTGAATAAGTGATAAGCTCCTGCCTCCGCTACCTTGAATTGGTTAAATAGCAGAAGATGGATGGAAAGATAAATTAAATGATTCTAACCCCGTACCCGTTTGTTTTAATTTTTGTTAAATTCTAGATTACACTGCTGAGGATAGTTAAGGACATACTCGATCATAACAATATAATAGAGTCACTGAAGCTTCAGGATATCAGTGTGTCCAGTTAGACCAGTGTGAATCCTTTTACACTCTAACAAAAGCGGAACTAGAGAAAAATCAGTCAGCAGGGATAAAAAGAGAGCATTGGTCTTACCTTTTTGGGGAATTGTCTCGTTGCCTCTCCGCTGCACCTGTTGACACTTTCATTTGCACCAAGCCAGGTGAAATGATATATGCTTCTTAACTGGACACATTAATATCCCTGAAGTTAAAATGAGTTTGGATTAACCTGTGATGATCCAGCATTCCCTTAATTCTTTGAGCAGTGTCATTTATCACAGCTTGGTAATAAACCCAGGATGACCTCGTGCCAGCATAGTAATGTTCTTATAAGTTATTGATCCACAATATGTCTGCAATAGCTCACAGATGTTATTGGTATTGGAGCCATTGTTAATATAATTCCAGATGTTTGCAAATACAACACTACAAACTCAAGCACATCACCAAATTTGTTTATATTTGAGCAGCTCAGGCCAAATTTAAAACATATGAGTTTCTGAGAATTTCTAAAAGGGGGTTGGAGGGCTTAGGGTGAGCGGCAGGGTACACCCTGGACAGGTCACAGTCTGTCACAGGGCTAACACATAGCCACAGACAACCATTTGAATTCACATACACACCTGTGGGCAATGTAGAGTTTCCACTTAACCTATTCCCACTAACTGCATGTCTTTGGACTGAGGGAGGAAGCCGTATGGTACCTGGAGAGAACCAAGCAAACACAGGGATAACATGCGAACTCCACTTTTAAATATATATTCTTAAATTAGTTGTTGAAATACACATTTTATTTGGTGCTTTTCTGCAAATTGTCTAATAACCCTAGCAAAATAATTTAATTAGCTGCCTGTCTGATGAGTTTGTGGTCTCACAGATGGACTCGGATTCCACAGTCTGCATGTTGCGACGGCACACGGGGCAGTTTTTCATCTCCTTAGATAGATCATCCAGATCACAGCAGATCTCCAAAACAGAGCAAAAACTACTGTTGTCAGCTGTGGTAGCCAGTAGAGAGTCTACAGCTAAATGATACTGAAGACATCACAACAGAAAGCTGCCCATAACTGTAGGGGATCACAAAATGGAAAGGGTGGGGTGTAGCTGGTTAATGGTGAAATGGTTAAATGAGCCAACAGATGTACTTGGTTGACCAACCCAACCTACTTTATATGTAACAAACTGAGGTCATTTAATAAGTAGGGCTCTGTAAATATTTGATCGTGTAATTAATAAGGTCAGTGATCCATTACAGTTCTCCAATCAGTTTAAGGCTGTGTAATTACTTTTGATGTAATTAGAAAGCCAGCATGTAATCCCATCCTCAAACAAATACAATATATCCAAATTAAGGTATTTCAATAACATGTAGTATTTTGGTAGAGGTATTTATTTTCTGTTTTATTAGATGTTCTGTTTTTTTCTATGCTGTCAGTGGTGATTTCTGAGCAGGGTTGGCCCTCCTAGTATGGACCCCGGCCACCTCGGAGGGGATATGTCACCTTTGTATATGCCAAGAAAGAGGAAGCCTGTTCACTCACTTTCAAAAAGTGGAGTGCAATGTCCAGGTAAAAAAAAAAACACATCACACAACAGCGTGCATCCATCATTGTGGCCATTATCTTTTTTATTGTGTCTTTTTTAATACAATTTCACTTTTAAAGCTGCTGTCCAGCGAATGCCAGAAAGAGCCTGTGAAGTAAATACAGTTGGGTACTCAGAGGTAAGAATACACATCTATAATGTAAAAACCTACATCTTTTATTGTTTCTGAGATATAGTGTATGTAAGGAGCAGGCAGTCCTGCTAGCATGAACGCTGTGACTGTGTTTCCATTTTCAAGTGTGGTAATAAAAATCAGTTAACTTTATGCACACAGCTGGATCTCTGCTTCACAGTTTTTTCATCGATTGTTTTAGGAGGATGAGTCCCAAACTGAAGACGGAGTAAAGATGAAGAGAACTTACAGTAGGAAAAGGTAAGAGGCTGGTTAACCTGGTGATTATACATTGTACTCTTATATGACAAAGTCATTCACAGTAAACAGATATCATATCTAAACAAGTACACAGGTTTCAATAAAATACATCATTGTTGATAAGTGCAATGTAGTACCCTTTTAAAAATCTGCATACACAAATCTTTTGTTGAGATTTCCTACATGATAAAAGGTACAGTTAGGATAGATTTCCTAATGAGATGAGGAAATTCAGCGTTTGCACTTGCTACTTATCCACATGTATTCATGCTGATATTAACCAAATGGCTGGTAATGGTTCAGGTAGAATAAGCTATGGATCATTCAGTTTTGAACATGGCGTTAATTTAAGGCTTCAAAAGCAAAGCACAAGGCAAGGAAGTTCAAGCACAAAAAAGGAAGTCTTTGCTTTGCAAAAAAGATTTGTTACACAGAATAAACAGAGTGAGAAACATCTTACAGCAAGAAGTGAAAGGACAGAGTCTGGTACATAGAGAGTGGCAGACACAGTAAAGGAAGGACGCAAGACCAAGGTGGCAGATTAAAGAGCAAGAAATCACTCTGGCAGGAGGAAATACACAAGCTCAGGAAGCGAAGGGTGTGAGAGGATATGTGAGTATAAAATGGGAAATGATAAAAGAGAAAAAAAAGACACAAAAAATGACCTGGGTCTTTATTTTTTCTTTGCACTGAAAAACTAAACAAATGGGAACACCCATCATTAATGAGTGATTAATGAAAATAAAATAAGATTAGATCAAAAATAATCATAAAACCCGGCTCCACTGTTGCGCTCCTTCTTGGTTTTGGCTGTTTAAACTTTATGTGCAAAGTGCTTTTTTAAGTGCTGGTCAAAAGCATATAGGTTTGTATTATATTAATAAACAAATAGTTCATCATTTATTTAGCTGCATTCTGTTCATATTGTGCAGTATAGCAACTGTATATAAAAGATGAACCTAAATATTGACGCAAAAGGTGAATTTGCTTGCACCTGTATTCTTTATAATGGCCTGAAGGGGGATCAGATTGGATGTAGCCTCTAGGGCTGTGCGATATGACAAAATCGGGACATTAACACGTATATTGTTTCATGTTGTACTCTTCATTTATTTTGTGTTGTTGCAAAAACATAGGGCTGGGCGATATATCGAGTTTTTTAAAAATATCGATATATT